GGTGCTCGCCTTGTGCAGGTGGAGACGCGGGGGAGCAGCCTGGGGAAGCCAGGAGGAAGCCGGTGCGAGCCACGTGCAGGCCATTCTCATGGCCAGGCTACCACTCCTCTCAGGCAATAGGGTGGCCTGGCTCATCACGATGGGCTTCTTTTACTTTTTTAAAGATCCGATTCATTTACTTTTAGAGAGAGGGCAAGGGAGGGAGAGAGAGGAGAGAAACATCAGTGTGGGGGTGCCTCTCCAGCGCCCCCTACTGGAGACCAGCCCGAGACCCCAGCCTGTGCCCTGACTGGGAATCACGCCCCCTGACCTTTCGGTTTGCGGGCCGGCACTCAGTCCAGGGAGCCACGCCAGCCGGGGCTGGCTTCTGTTTTTTTTTCTTGTTTACACTGTAAGTGCCGCACACCGCGCTACGTGCCGGCCCGGTGGGAGACACTGGACAGCACGCGGAACACGATGTCCTCGGTCAGAGGCTCTCAGGGGCGCGGCGGCGGGGGAGACGGACGGAGCAGACAGGTGCTCGACGCAGCTCCCAGGGGCCCTGGCGAGCAGGAGAGCACGTGACTGCCCCCGAGGGAGCCGCCGTGCCCCGCTGTCCCGCTCTGCCAGTTAGATCTAGAGGGGGAGTCTCCGCAGTTTTCAACGTGGGGAGCTTTGCCGGGTGCTAGTTATTACCTAACCCCGCGCACCCGGCCTAAATCTCACTGCCCCCGCCCCCACGCAGTCGCGCACTCCGCTGGGGCCCCCACCGGCGTCCAGGGGCAAACGCGGAGCTGCCGGTCCAGCGGGCACTCGTTACTGCCGCAGACGACGCGGCTTCACTCCAAACCCCTTGGTGTCTGCGCTGTGCCCTGCCGTGGGCACCCCTTCCCAGAGCGCGGTTCCCCCCAGGGAGCCTGCCCTCGCCTGCGGGGCCGTCTGGTGACTGGGTAGGACGGAGCAGCACACTCAGGGGCAGCTCCCGGGGTCTCTAAAGGTCGGAGGGCCTCCAGTGCGGGACGCTCCACACCTCGCTCGGCCACGAGCCCCAGCTGCCGGAGCTAGCACAACTCTCTGCACCATCAGCCGTGTTGGTGAGGTCCGCCCGGCCCGAGGGTGCGCTCTGACACCGAACGGGCTCCCCTGTCCCTGCTCACTGAGAAGAGGCAGGGACGTTCCAGGGTTCTGTGTGGCCAGGCAGCAGGACCGGACCCTGCGGCCCAGAGACGCGGACCCAGGGTTCTTTCAGTGAGCAAGCGCCTCCCACACCGGGCTTTGCAGTTGGTCCCGGGGCATGCTGGGATCTGACTCCAGTTAGGACCCACGGAGTTCATAGGGTCTGTCTGGAGAAGGCTCAGCATCCCCCTCCTTGCCAGGTAAGCCCCTCAAGTGAGTGCTTAACAGGACTTCAGGCAGGTGAGGAGTGAGGGCCGTAGGCAGGCAGGGGGGCTATTTCCGGGACAAAGAGGCTCAGGTGGGCGGGGCAGGTTAGGCTCTCCACAAGCCCGTGTCCTCCCCACCTACCTCATTCCATCCCTGCTTCCCCCTGGCAATAGCCTGACTTCACAGAAAAGGCCTGCAGGCAGGACTTCAGCTTATCTTGCGATCTGGCGTCAGGGAGGATCAAGGCAGGTCCACCCTTAGTCCTGCCGCCCCAAGGCTAGAGGCTACAAAGATAAAGACTCGCTTAGGGCCAGGGAGGACCTGGTCTGATCTGAGAGCTAAAGCCCTGAGCTTTCCCTTTTCTCTGAAACCTCTCCAGTGCCACCAGAAGCCAGCCCGTCCCACCGGCTCCATCCTCGCCTTGATGGTCCCTCAGCAGCCTGCCCTCCCCCTCTGGCGAGCCCTTGATCCAGGCCAGGCCAGGGGAGGGTCTAGGCGGCCGCTCTGCCAGGGTGCGCGGCCAGTGAGGCCGGCTCTGCTCGTGCCACACGACCCAGCCGGGTAACCAGCTCCACAGTCCCCTTTGTTCGGACCTGTTTCCCAGGACCATGTCCGCATGTGTCACGGTTCAACCCCCGAAAGCAGAAACTGCTCTAGGTACTTCAAACAGAAAGGCGTTTAGTGCCAAGGACTGACTTCAAGGTGCTGGGAGCGCCGCAGGAGCTGGAGGGAAAAGGCGCTCTGACTGGGCCGGGAGGGCGACGCTACCCTGGGCTCAGGAAGCCGCTCCGGCCCCTGGCTCGGAGCCCAGGAGCCCGCACTGGCCACCGCCGGAGGGGCTGCTGCTGCTGAGCAGGAACCCGGGGAGGTGCAGCCGCTCAGACCACCACCGTCTCTGCCCCCACACCGCACTCCCCCGCCTGCCGCCGAAGCAGACAGACCAGACTCTTCCTGCCTTCCCAACGCAACGTCTCACCGCTCCCCGTGGTCAGAGCTGAACCAAAGTCAGCTGGCAGGGGTCCTGGGAAGTGTGGTTCGCCTGAGACACCGACCCGGGAGGGACCAGAAACCCCGGGCGCACCTGCTGGGGGCCCTGGGGCAGAAGTGGGGGAGCAGGGAGCAAGCTAGCAGAACGGCAGGGGGGTGCGTGGTGCTTTTCCGGCGCAGTGAAGCTGCCAGGGAGCGTCGGTGCTCCTGCTGTCTTAGGTTTGAAGCTGTTTTTTTAAGGTTATTTATTCATTTAGTTTTAGAGAGAGGAAGGGAGATAGAGGGAGAGAAACATCAGTGTGTGGCTGCCTCTGGTGCGCCCCCAACAGGGGACCGGGACAGCAACCCGGGCACGTGCCCTGACCGGGAGTCAAGCAGGAGGCCCTTTGGTTCACAGGCCGGCGCTCAACCCACTGAGCCACACTGGCCAGGGCTGGTTTCTTTTTTCTTTCTTTTTTTAATGGTGAGGGCCGTCCCTCTTTTCTGAAGATTTCCTTTGCCCCTCTCCGAACTTCCCAAACCGACTGCCTTGGTGAACACTCCCGCGGAGCCGCAACCCCAGCTCCTCCCCCCCTTGGGCTCCTTGGGCTCTGTCTCCAGACGCCTCCCTCCTGCCCCCAGACCCGCCGAAAGAGAAGGGCAGACCGCACAAAAACCCACAGCCAGCCGGAGAGACCGAACATCCCACGGCTTCTCAGTGCGTCAGCAGCACAGCTAGTTTCCCCACGCGGGGCGCAGCGTCACTGACAGGACGGAGCTCAGGCCTCCTGGTGCCAGCCACTCTCGTGTCTCGCAGCCCAGGAGGCGTGCGACTGCCCGTCTGTGCACCGGAGGGCAGGGGTGCAGGGGGCGCTGGCTTTGTCTGCGGCCGCACTGCAAGCAAGAGCGACAGGCAGTCTTCTTGCCGCCCCCCCCCTCGCCCCCCTGCAGCGTTCCGTCCCGTCCGTCAGCTCCACCTTCCGGGAAAACCGTCTTCCGTGGGCTTGAGGGACACCCACTCTCCTCCCAGTGGCCACTTCTGTCCAGTCTCTGTCGCTGGGCGTCCCTTCTCCATCTTGAGATACTGGAGGACCCCAGCACATGGCCTTCAGGTCTTTCTACTCTCTCTACACCCTCCTCCCGGATACACCCGTCCAGGTCCATGTTTTGTTGTGTGTGTGTTTCTTTTTAGATTTTTATTTATTTTTAGAGAGGGGAAGGGGAGGGAGAGAAACATCAATGTGTGGTTGCCTCTCACACGTCCCCTACGGGCGACCCGGACCACAACCCTGACATGTGCCCTGACTGGGAATCGAACCAGCGGCCTTTCGCTTCACAGTCTGGGGCTCAATCCCCAGAGCCACGCCAGCCGGGGCCGGGTCCATGGTTTTAACTGCCATCTAGACAATGCCAGCTTCTACATTCACTGCTCCAGCAGAACCCCAGGCTGGAAGAGCCACCTGTGCACTCACCACCTCTGCCTGTGTTTGAGAGGCAGATGGAAATGAACTTGCTCCAAACCAAAGCTCCGCCCGACGACCTCCAGGCGGGTTGCCGTCTCAGTAAACGACACCACCATTCATTCACTTGTTTCCATCTTCCTCTCCCAAGAGCCACCCAACTGCTTCAGCAAGAACCCCATAGCCCACAAGGCCCCCCCACCCCACCTCGCCCCTGCATAAATCCTACCGCCGTCCCCTAGCATTTCACCTCAGGCACACTCGTAATCACCCTCCTGGTCTCTGCCTTTACCACTCCCTCCTCGACTCTTCACCATCAGCGGTCAGAGGGTTTCTCTGAAAATTTAGGACAAACCCTATCACCCCTCAACCTCTTCCCTGAGCCCTCACACACCTGCGCGGGGCCCCTGGCTCCACGCCCCAGCCACCCCGAGTCTCCCTGGAACGCTCCTGCCCCAGGGCCTTTGCACTTGCTGCTCCTCCTCCCAGCAAGTGTTTTCTCAGACACCACGGCGTCTTCCTCCCCGCTCCCCTGGTCTTCCATTGCTTTCTTTTCCTTCGTGGTATTTTTAACAGGTTGTACTTATCTTTAAATAAAATCTATTTATCTGAAATAGAGGAAGGGAGAAAAAGAGGGGCAGAAACATCGATGTGAGAATGATACACGGGTCAGCTGCCTGTCGCAGGCCCCTAACCCGGGACCTGGCCCGCGACCCAGGCCTGTGACCTGACCGCGAAAAGCGTCTGTGACTCTCGGGTTCGCAGGCCGGCGTTCACTCCGCGGAGCCACCCGGCCAGGGCTCCTTCGTGGTTTTTATCAGCACCCATTTGCTTGGCCGTTTCTTCCCTGTCTTCCCTCCGGAGAGCGGCCGCAGGAAAGCGTTCCTCTGTGCTCACTACCGCGTCCCCAGTGCCGGCACGGAGACGACACCCCGTTCTGACTCACTGAACGACAAGGCCCGCCTCCTGGAAGAACTCTTAAGCACCGTACACCTCCTCTGAACAGGACCCGCCCGCCTTCGGGTTCCTGCCACCACCCCCGCAGGTGACAGCGAGCCGCACCCCTCCGTTCGGGACGCTGCTGGCGCCAGCGCTCCCTCTGGTTTCCCCCCCCCACTCCTTCCGCGCAGCCGCGGGGGCGCGCGGCATCTTGGGGCTTGTAGTCCGCCCCCCGAAGGACGGATTCCCGCCGCCGCCGCCGCCGCGCCTCCCCGGCACTACAACTCCCACGAGGCAGCGGAACGCCGCTCCCGTACCGACCGGCCACCCTGCAGCAGGTCTCGGCTGCCGCCGCGGGGGAGGGGCGCAAAGATGGCGGACGTGGTCGTGGGCAGAGACAAGTGCGGGGAGCAGCGCATCGTGTCGCTGCCCCTGTCCCGCATCCGGGTCATCATGAAGAGCTCCCCCGAGGTGTCCAGCATCAACCAGGAGGCGCTCATGCTCACGGCCAAGGCTACGGTGAGGCGGGGCCAGTGAGGCGGGGGCTGTGCGGGGAGAAGTGAGGAGCGCGGCGCGAGGGTGGGGACCACCGGGACTAGTCGCGCTGCGCAGTCCCTTTGGGCCCGCGCGCCGCCGGCTCCCTTTCACGGGCTCACGCCCGCGCGCACTTGCGCAATTCGCCTCACTTCCCTCCCACGCCACGCGCGCCCCAGCTTCATCCTTTACTCGGCCCCACCCTGCCCGCGCCGCTCCCGTCCTCCCTCGCGCGCCCCCTCGCCCCGCCCACTCCGCGCTGCTCCCGCGTCCGCCGCGCGCCGTCCCGTCCTCCCTCGCGCGGGGGTCACCTGGGCAACGGCGCAGACTGCCGCGCGCTGCTGTACCTCCTGCCGCGTCACCAATCCTTGGACCCCCGGCCCCCCCCCCGACAAGCCTGCCCCCCTTTTCTCGCGTTCGGCCTGTTTCGTGGTTTCGGGCCCCGACTCCCCAAGCGGTCCAGTGGGGGTTTCCTCAGGAGGTCCGGCCCGTGATACCGGTGGTCCGCCCCACCTCTCCGCGACATCCCGGCGGGACATCCCGGGCTGGAAGTAGTTCCAGGCGCCCAAGCTGTGCGGCCTGCGGGATACTCGTGGCTCTTCCGATTTGGGCTCGACGGTGGTGCCACGGGCCCTCCCTGTTCTTACACCGGCCGTGGTGAAGCTGCCGCCTCGGCTGCTGGAACCTTTCCCTGCACGTGCTTTCCAGCTCCCCCTCGTTCAGCACCCAATGTTCCCACAGCGAGCTGGACTCGAGCTCCGGGGAGGGGGCAGTCTCCGATTTCTTGCCTGCTTGGTGCCAGGGCCGTGCTTTCTCCGAGTCCAGGAAAAGAACTGCTGTCCAGCACGTGACGGTGGGGTCCGTGCGTGTGCCGGCACAGTTTCGGCCGCAAGCATTCGGGAGCTAAATAAGGTTTATGCCCCGGACACTCCTGCACTCCCTCGCTGACCATGCCAGATGGAGTTCGGGAGAGGGGCCCAGCCCAGGTTGTTGCTTTAGGGAAGGTGTTTGGGCGAAGTAGCGGACGCGGTGCAGGCCGGGCTTCCGCGTGGTGACTGTTTCTAGGGAACCACCCAAGACCAGGTCTCCCCGAGCCCAACAATTTTTGAATGGTCTTTTGCTCCCCCCTTTTTTAACTGTTACACACTAGTCATTAAACATGTTTGATTGATTCGTTTTTGATATTTTAAGTGAAAAATCAAAAATAAGCTTTGGGGAAATGCCTGCTTCCTGCCAGTTGTGGCACTCTTGGCCTCTTTCTGGCCTCACGGTTCTCCTTCCCCAGGGGCTTCCTGTGATTTGAGAAGCCAAGATCGTCTGCAGCCATGCAGACTTACATTAGTTTAAGTTCCATGATAGGTTTTCAGAGCATGCCTTTCACGTGACCTTTTCGTGTGTGTCAGGAACTCTTTGTGCAGCACCTGGCCACCTGCTCCTACAGACACGGCGGCGGGAAGGAGAAGAAGGCACTCACGTACAATGATTTATCCAACACTGCGGAGGAGTCGGAAACTTTCCAGTTTCTTGCAGGTACTTAGTTTTTGGAACATCCTGGCTTAAAATTGCTTATGAACTTCAAGCTATTCTCCCCTGCTCTCACTGAAATAAACACTCGGCGGCTGTCTCTAGGTGCCAGGGTTAAGCAGGACCTGGCACGGTTTTGCCTGTTGCGTGTGTTTGTAACGTGGCTCACCCTGAACAATGTTGTGGCCGACGTCCGGCCCAGGGGCGTTTGCCTGGCTGGTGGGTCCGGCAGACCCACTCCTCGGACCCCTCCTGCCACTGAGGGGAACTCCGGGCTGGTATGCCCGGCCCCAGAAACAGAAAGTACTTGTTGTGGAACGAGCCGTGTGGCCGGGGCTGAACAGAGCTCAGTCTGCCCTGGGGCCAGCGGCCCGTCTCAGGTAGGTTGGTGGGCTGCCCACAGGCCAACCAGCACGTAGAAGATGGTTTGCAGTGACGCGGAAACAGGTCTCACGCATTCGGCAGGAGGTCGCCCAGAGGACCCTGAGTCTGACTTTGTGTCGTTTCGGAGGCTGCTCCAGAGGTCGGAGCAGGAGCCAGGACAGTTCTGAAGTGCTGCTGTGTTCACGGCCTGCCACAGGCAGTCGCTAATGCTAGCTTTATGTTTTTAAGATATATTACCGAAGAAGATACTAGCTAGTAAGTACCTGAAAATGCTTAAGGAGAAGAGGGACGAAGACGAGGAGGAGGAGAACGACAACAGTGATGACAGTGACGACGATGAAGCGGAGTCCTAACCCTGAAGCTCCAGACAGTCGGCCTGCTGAGGACCCTCCCGGAGCAGCACCGTGGTGGTGGTTTTCTCACTGGTTTTTAGAGAGAGGGGAGGAGGGAGGGGAGGGGAAGAGAGCGAGACATGGGCTTGTCGCCGCGCTCATCCGTGCGTTCCTCGGCTGCTGCTTGTCTGTGCCCTGCCCGGGGCCCCGGCCCGGGCCAGCACCGCTGCTTTAAAGCACGCACAGCGCTGCGCGATTGTAGCCTCACCTTTCAGACTCCGAGTGCTCGGTGCTGCTTCCCGGCTGGGACAGAGCGTCTGCTGCACCCGCACTGGCGGTGGCCGGAGGAGAGTGGTCAGGCCACACTGTGGCTGGAGGGCGCCAAGGAGGAGAGCTGCCCGCACAGTCAGCCCACGTGCAGCTGCACACTGTGGCGGCAGAGACGGCTCCGCTGAACTTCTCACTCACAGGCAGATTCTGAAGAGCTTCTAAATGTCAGTTACGTGCAAACCACTAGATCCAGTTTTAGCTAAAAATGTAATGTGTGTTGTATTTTGTTACTTTGTACATAGTATCTTACACTTGCAATTTTGTATTTCAAGAAAATTTGTTAGAACATTTGCCCAAATACTGCATTTTTAACTGTAAAGACATTTTTCATTAAAAGTTGTCTCTATATTTACAGTAAAGTGCTCTGCAGGTTTAATTTTGTTGTAATCCGTCTGTTGTGTTGCCTTGCTTAGTACCTCAGACCTTTTTGAAATTTAAAAATAAGCATTTCTAGCACTTTCATACCCAGAGAAAAATTTCAAGTCAAATCATAAATCCGAAAAGAAATTACCTCTACCAAGCATATTTTTCTTAAAAAACTTTTTTAGAACATTTTGCATTTTGCACGTCTGTCTCACTTGCTGTTCCTGTCTTTACACCTGTAGTAATGGTGTGTGCTCTCCAGAAGAGAGAACCGCAAGTCCGGTATTTTCTCTTTTAAGATTTTCTTAGTTATTTTTAGAGAGGGGAAGGGAGGAAGAGACATCAGTGCGCGGTGCCTCTCACACCACCCCCACTGGGGACCTGGCCTGCAGCCCCGGCCTGTCCTCCCTGGGAATTGAACCAACAACCCTTTGGTTCGCAGGCTGTCCTCGGTCCACTGAGCCGTAGCAGCCAGGGCGAACTTTTTCACATCGGGTGAATTTTCGGTCTGTTGGTCGTGGAAACACACAGTCATCTCCATCACCCCGAATACTCCACCATACCCACTGGGAGTCGGTCCTTGCCCCTGTTCTCAGGCACCCACTGACGTTTTCTGTCGCTCGTTTTTTAACTTTTAAAATAAAAATTTTAAATCCACTTTCTGGTATACACCCCTGAGCTTTGAGAAGCGCCGAGTCATGTAATCACCACAATTAAGACAGAACGGCCTTATCACCTCCCCCCAGATTTCCCAACGGTCAGGCTCGTTCCTGCCCTGCACCTTGGCAGCCACCGAGCGTTTCTCCTGGGCCCCCGACACGGGGCCTGCGGCAATGCCCTCAGGTCTGCGGGCCGTGCAGTCCACGGCCACTGGCCCCGCCGCCGCGTGGGAGCGGCCGGACATGCGCCGACAGGCTTGAGTGTGGCTGTGCGGGAAGAAAGCCGCTCCCAGACCCCAGGGTTTGAATTCTGTGTTTCCATGGGTCTAAAATACTTTTTAAATCTTCAGCCACTTAAGAATGTAATAACCATTCTCATCTCATGGGCCGTACAGACACAGGAGGCCCGCAGACCGTGCTTTGCAGACCCGTCTTCCCAGTGTCCCGCAAGCGGCGTCGGAGCGGGCGGCCTGAGGCGGCTCTCCCACTCTGCACGGTGCCTCTGAGCGCCGGGCTGCCGCGGGTGTCACCGCCCGTCCCTTTCCACTGCTGAGCGGGGTCCGTCGCGTGGGCGTACCAGTGTTCATCCGGCCCCCAGGGGAATGGATCATTCCCAGTGTGGGTGGTTTCTGCTTTGACGGCTACAAGTACAGCCCTGTGCACACGCACCTGCAGAAAACAAGACCTCGGCCGGCTTTAGCAACAGTGTCCATCGTGGGTATTTCCAGCTGTTTCTCGCTTTTTTCTTAATCCAACTCGCCTTTCCCTTCCCAACACCAGGCCGAGAACCCCGGGCACGGTCAGCTCTGACTCCCACACCACGTGGAGCTCGGGCTTTGTGCCGCCCCGGGGCTGGGCTGGATGGTTCCCTGCCTCGTCTGGTCAAAGTGGGAGCACCCAGCGCACCTGGAGATGTCTGTTCCCCTGTGTCCGGCCCGCTGTGTGGTTCCCATCCCCAGACCCCAGGTGCTTGGGCGACGCTGGCTCTGCCAGGTGAGCACGTGCTGCTGGGGGCGGGCCCGGTGCCTGCGGAGCGGGGCCCAGACGCCTGTCGTGGGCAGGGCGCTCCCGCCTGGGAAGCCCGGAGCCTTGACCTGTGCAGGAGGAAGTGCCCAAACACGCGTGCGAGTGACTGAAGACCCTGGGGAGAGGCAGCTGTAAATACGAGGAATTTTATTTCATTTTTTGCTGACATACTATGAGGCAAAACAAAATTGACACCATACAAAATAACTTTATAAAATATCATTCACATCATATTTTATCAGATTTACAGCATTCTGTGCATGTTAAGGGTTATGTAAAGGAGGTGAAAAAACACTATGCCAAACTTTTAGTATTAGTTTATATACACACAGTAAGAAACAAAACAAATAACTGTTAGGGTTTCCATGAATTTATTGCAAAAATAGTGCAAACTACTTAACCTAGTAAGCTGTAAAACAAACTCGAAAGGACCCAGCTAAGCTCGAACACGATAGATGCTCAGTGTCTCAGCCTTCGGCTTGCTGCGCCGGCTCACCGCCCGTGGGTGAGACCCCTCCCGCCCGTCCCGTGCGGGCTCCCGGGGAGCAGACGGGACGGCTGCTCTCCGCACAGGGCAGCCCGCTCCGCCGCCTGGCGCCAGCCTTCCTTTGGGGTCAGGCGACTGACTCGGCGGCAACTGTGTGCGGTGTGTTGAAAACGACGACGCCACGGTGTTGAGTGCGACCTTAGCAACGGGCCGCCCGACCTCCTGGCGGCGGGGGGAGAGGAGCCGAGAAGGCAGTGTGAACGGAAAGGACCGGGAACATCTGTCGGCTGCTGGCACACGCGGTGCCTCGTCCTGGGTGTGTCTGGGCCAAGTGTTCTCCTGGCAGGCGCCCTTTGAACCAGAGAGCGGGGTGGGAGTGGGAGGAGCGGGGACTGTACCCCGAGGAGGGTAATTTAAAAGTTTCTTCCAACAGTCTGTTGGGGTCCGAAAAGCATATCTCTAGACAAAATAATGAGCGCAAAACAAAATGCTACATACAGAAGCGAACGAAACAAAATGCAGCATATTCAGGTTCTTTTTCTTGAGGTACCTACAGCAATTTAGTGACCTGCCCCAACGGACTCCTGTCAGGCGAGGAACCGGATGCTTCCCGGGGAGCGACCGCAGGGCGCTTATCATCACCGAGAAAGTGCGGCGCGGCCCGCCCTCGCCCTCGCACGCCGCACGGTGGCGCACTCCTCGCGACAGACACTCAGCTCGGGGACCGACCGGGTGGGAGCGCCGAACGGAACACTTAAACCGGAACCATCCCGTCGTTTTTGAGATCCTGCAGCAAAAAGCCTCCCCAAGCAACTTTCAAAGTTTTGCCACTAAGGAATGTTGGTTCTCTTGTAATAGTCAGAAATCTCGTTAAAATAGTAAAACTAGACACTCCAGGAAAGATCCTGGAGTTTTATTTCTTATTGGTATAAAATCAAATTCTTAAGACTCCAAAATATTGCGTTACCTCCAAAGAACTGAGTTAAAAAAGACCACCAGAGTACGAAATGTCTAGAATTGTAAACTGCCAAATGCAAAGGCCTGGAAAACCAGCGGCCAGCTTCCTCCCTCTGCTCACCTGCCGGAAGCTCTCCTGACCGCGGCCCCGCCCCCTGCCCGTGCTCACGAGCGCCCCCGCCAGGCCGGGAGGGGTGAAGCCAACTGTCCGCGCGCCGCTTAGGAAATCATCTCACGTGCCAGAGGAAGAGGGGCCCGAATGGCAACAAAAGCAGTGGCAAGAGGACATGGAGTTGGTTTTGGCCACCCCTTCCTTGGCACCGGAAATGAAGTGATAGCTATAAATATATGCATAGAAGAGTTTGGAATTTGTTTGTAAAATGTTGAATTTTCTCTTGAACAGAGTGTGTCCCATTTCGCAAGAAGGCAGCTGGGATTCCCACGTGCGGCTGAGGCCGGCTGGGGGAGCTCTAGCGAATGCCACGGCCAATTGGGCTTCTCTCCCCGCCTGCAATCTAAAATGTTTGAGACTGATTTTTTTCCCCAATGCATTAGGATTCAACACAAAAGGCACAAAATAAATAAAAATATTATTAAATAAACGGAAATGATGAATTCAAGCTTCATGTGGAGTTATAGCTCACTGTTTGGTTACTTTTTCCAATTTAGTTTGACAGACTTCGTAAATAGCACCCAACTGTTGAACTGAGGTAGATCCACATTGTAAAGAAAGCTGGGTCCCCTCCAATCGATCGTGTGTCCACACTGAAGATGCTCTCACAGAAACTGAAACTCGCTCGGCCACGCGCAGAAGCGACGGCGGGAGGCGCTGCCCGAAGAAAGCACAGAGCGCGAGCAGGTCTGGAGAGGGGGTCCGTGCCCGAGTCGTCCTCCCCATCAGCCACAGTCAACCTCGGACTGGAGGGAGAAAGTCTCAAACACTCAAAATAACCCTGAAAAAGTCTCAAGACTTTCAGAACAGGTCTTACTGACAGACTGCCTGCCACGGAAATGCACAGCGGTCCTCTCCATCACCAAGCGGCGGCAGCCAGTGCGGGCAGACGGGGTGGGGGCGGGAAAGAGAGAGAGAGAGAGAGAGAGGGAGAGAGAGAGAGGGAGGGAAAGAGATATGTATCGCCAAAAGCTTCCCTTTGCAACTCCAGAGAAAAGACTTGTTGAATCAGGGTACAGCATCCTGATCTGGACAGCTTACACTCACTCTGCCTAATGTTTTTGCATACTTGGAAACGCACAAATTGAACATCTGATTAAGGCTTAATTGGAAGTGGCGTCACCACCGAGCGTCCTGCGAGCGCCGGACAGCCTCCACACACACGGAACGGCAGGGAACTAAGACAAGGACGTGAAGCCTCGGAATCGAATTCAGCAGGTACTGTAATTTTATAGTTACGTTTACAATCCAGGTAGCAGATGAGTTACACAGAGAGGCCAACGGATACAAATACTAGTTTATACAGGAACTGTCGGTTTACAAAACAGCACTGCACGGTTTCTATTGCAAGCACGAGCCGCGGCCGCGGGGACCGCCGGGACGGCCCTCGCAGGCGCTGAGCTTCTTAGAAAAGGGTAAACTGGGAATGGTCGTCACACACTTTGATTCAAAACGTCTTCTAAAATGTTTCGTTGTGGGGGGAAATTAAGAAGGGGCAAGATCTACCTAGGTAACTTTTTAATTCATTTTTGGTTCTTTTTCAATTATTTTATAAAAATAAAATAAAAATAGAAAAGTTGATAAAACTCAGGGGGCAAACCCCTCAATACATGTTAGGTAAGCAGTATGAAGTGTACCAGAGGTAAGAAAACTCTGGATTTAGACGCTACATTCTTTTCTTGTATTTAATGAGTA